TTTTGTGCAGGAATTAGGCGGCTTACAAATGAAAGCAATATCTGTGTTTGGACAATGACTGTCTTGGGGCCCCTATGGCTATAATGAAATTCTATAGATCAAAAATCTTTAAAATCCTCTGAGGCAAGAATGTACAAGCTGACCTCTGCTCTGTTGGATCCTAGGAGCCACAGTGGACAGTGACTGGGAGGGGTGAGGAAGGAGGGCTAGCTGGGGGTTGTTGGGCAGGCCGAGCTCACAAGAGGTACAACCCCATCTTGGGGAATTTATTAGTCTCGGGATAGGGAGACATCTTTGTCTCTACTTCTCTCATGTGTGTGCAAAGAAGGAAGGTGGGTTAGTTACCCAAAGTCGTGCTTCTTGAAGGGTAGATCCCTGGGGTCCAGAGACACTTTCATGGAGTCCCCAAAGTCAAAACTATTACACTCTTGCCATTTCCCTTTTTAATTTATTCTCTCCTAGTGCTGTTGAACGGAGTCTCCATGGCCTGCAATGTCACAATAGATAGCAGAAGTTGGAGAGAGAATCTAGCCAGACATAAATATGATGCATAAAACCAAAGCAAATAAAATCTAAATTACAGTTTTGGCTTGTTTTGTAAAATGGGTAATTTACAGTGGCAATTTATTACAGTGGTGATTTATATGCTGGGTTTAGTCTTATAAATGAATTTTTAAGTTTTAGAGTTTTCACTTTTCTTCCTTTCTCAAATGCTTGTTTTGCTGAGAATCAAATCCAGTGCCTTGCCTGTGCTAGGCAATCGGTCTCCTAGTGAGCGATGCCACCAGTACCAGAGTTTTACGTCTAATATCATAAATGTAAATGCAGAGAACACTCATCCACAAACATTCTCTGGGGTACGACTGAAGTTACCTTGTGTACGGCACACATGTCATTAGTTTCTCTGGGCTACATTATGTATCCACACTTGGCTGCTACAGAATAAATAAATGGGTCTAGATGTTTAGTTAGACTATTTAACATTTCAAATTTAGTCTAAGAAGGTATATTTTAATTAAATACACACTCTTGTAAGTGAAAAAAGAACTGTCACGTATGAGTCAGGGGAAATAACTTTTATGTACTCATATTTCAGGAATACTGTATTTCTGAATCTGGTATTTACTGTATGTCTCCTTAAAGCCCCCGATGTGAACTTTAAGGCATTGTGAATCTCTTTCACCACATTGCACTTATTTAGCCAGAAAGCTTCTCTTAGTGATATTGGACAGATCCAAGGGTGTAATGAGCACACTTTGGGGGAAAATGCTGAACTTGGCAGAAGAATGATCTTGTCTGCTCAGGCACTGACCACTGATAGTATCCAGAAGTACACAGAAAAAGTCTTGGTAGTTACTTTTCTATTGCTGCGATAACATCATGGCCAAAGTAACGTATAGAAGAAAGCATTTAATTTGGGGCTCATGGTTCCAGAGGGTTAGAGTGTCCCTGGCAGAGAGCAGGGTAGCAGGCAGGCATGATGCTGGAGCAGTAGCTGAGAGCTTGTATATAATCCAAAAGCATGAGGCAGAGAGAGGCAGAGAGAGAGAGAGCAAGCTCATTAACTGTGAATGTCATGGGCTTTTGAAGCCCCAAAGCCCTCCTCCAGTGACATACCTCCTCAAACAAGGCCACACCTCCTAATCCATTCCAAACAGTTCCACCAATTGAGGACAAAGCATTCAGATATATGAGCTTATGGGAGTCTAAGCCACCACAGCAAGGGGCCAGCAGGGCTGGTTGTACCCTGTAGTCTGGGAATGTGCAAGTGTGATTTCAGTGGGGAGTGATATAGACTGGGAAGAATTCACCCCAACCTGATGGTGAGTAGAGGCAGGAGGATGGAGGGTTTGGAGAAGAGGTTGTGAAGCTTTGAAGGTGAACCAGACATGGAGGCTTTCTGGATTTGGTCAGAAGCGCAGGGTCCTAGAGATGGTAAAGTAGAATTATTCGTGGGACATCATCCTGTAAGGGTTGGGAAGCTCGGCTTGGCCTATTGCATTGGAGTGAACATTAGTGACAATCCCACCTTGGTCAGATGAGCATGGAGCACCATAACGCGTTGACAGGACTCCAAGGTCCTCCTCCTTGGTGCTCCCCAGCAGGCTGGCAGTTGCTAACCTGATAGGTAACACCCTGACACTGGGCCACTGGGATAGATTTCCTTAAATTCCCTTTGGTGATCTTTCTCACCTCTGAATGAGGCCAAGGGAGAAGAATTTATTTACTGTGTCTTGTGAGCCACCAGGCTAAGAAGAACCCACTCTTTAGTGTTCTATGCCCATGGATAAGAACTGACAAGCTGATAGACCTGTACACTGATAGGATGGCTGTGGGAGCCAAAGAAACACACCCTGAGCAGAGCCAAAGAAACACACCCTGAGCAGAGCCAAAGAAACACACTCTGAGCAGAGTCAAAGAAACACACCTGAGCAGAGCCAAAGAAACACACCTGAGCAGAGCCAAATAAACACACCCTGAGCAGAGCCAAAGAAACACACCCTGAGCAGAGCCAAAGAAACACACCCTGAGCAGAGCCAAAGAAACACACCTGAGCAGAGCCAAAGAAACACACCCTGAGCAGAGCCAAAGAAACACACTCTGAGCAGAGTCAAAGAAACACACCCTGAGCAGAGCCAAAGAAACACACCCTGAGCAGAGCCAAAGAAACACACCCTGAGCAGAGCCAAAGAAACACACCTGAGCAGAGCCAAAGAAACACACCCTGAGCAGAGCCAAAGAAACACACCTGAGCAGAGCCAAAGAAACACACCCTGAGCAGAGCCAAAGAAACACACCCTGAGCAGAGTCAAATAAACACACTTTGACCCTGCAACCAGAAGCCAAGAAATGCACCCTGACTCTAAAACCAGTGCCAAAGAAACACACTTTGGCCCTGGAATCAGAGCCAGTGAAAGAAATCCACCCTGGTCCTAAAATTAGAGCCAAAAGCCTAAAAAGGACCAGAGAAAGAAACACACTTTGGCCCTAAAACCAGAGCCAAATCTGACCCTAATCCTGTGCAGAAAACTAACCAATCCTTGAGCAGGACCTCTAGCCAATCTGAGCTCAGCATTGAAATCTGACCAATTCCCACCCTGGAAGCCCTATATAAACCCCGTGCCTGTTCAGCTTGTGGCTGTTCGTGCTACCCGGCTGTCCTCTGCCACTGTAGCAGAGGGCACCCACTCTCCTGGATTCTTCCCTCCCAAAAACCCACTTTGATGAGCTTCAGGTGAAGACCCTCTTTTGCACTGGAGCAGAGACTACCCTGGGCAGAGCAGAGCCAGCTGGGCTGTAACACTTTTGCCGGGTGCTCTCCACTCTCCAGGAGCAGAGCTGAACTGTATCAACTTCGCCAGGGAAACCTTCTCCTGCCTGAGCAAAAACTGCTACACTGGGCTAACATCCCCAGCTGGAAGACCCTCTCCTGCCAGAGCAGAGCCAACACACTGGGGAAGCCTTTCCCTGAGGCCGGGCTATAAGCTGCTACGCTTACTATGGCCTGTGGTAGTCCTTAGCTCCCGAGCTCCAGGATACCTTTCCATCTGAGCTGTGTAACACTCAGTATTCTGTGACTCCCGAGCGCCAGAATACCTGTCCCACCTGATCCGACCAAAATGCCTACAGGAGGTTTTCCACTCTGGTCTCTCTTGTGGACTCTGCTTGGTTGGGAAGTGTACCAGCTAGTTTTATGTCAATTTGACACAAGCTATAGTCTTTAGAGCAAGAGAACTTCAGTTGAAAAAATGCCTCTGTAAGATCAGATCAGGCTGTTGGCAAGCCTGTAGGGCATTTTCCTAATTAGTTATTATTAGGAGGGAGTACAAAACGATGTGAATGAAGTTGCCCCTGGGCTGGTGGTTCAGAATTCTATTTTAAAAAAGCAGACTGAGCAAGCCAGGAAGAGCAGGGCAGTAAGCAGCACCCCTTCATGGCATCTGCATCAGCTCCTGCCTCTAGGTTCTGCCCAGTTTGAGTTCCCACCTTGGTTCCCTCAGTGGACTGTGATTCAGGACATGTAAACCAAATAAACCCTTTCTTCCCCGGGTTGCTTTTGGTCATGGTGTTTCATCATAGCAATAATAACTCAAAGACAGAAGTTGGTACCAGGATCATGGGGTACTGCTATTTTTGCGAGGACTGTGGAAGGACTTTGGAACTTTGGGCTGTCTGTTAGCTTGAATGTAATTGACCTCCATAAGCCTATAGGGAGTGTTACTATTAGGAGGTGTGATCTTGTTGGAGTAGGTATGGCCTTGTTAGAGGAAGTGTGTCCCTGTGGGGGTGGGCTTTGAGGTCTCCTATGCTCAAGCTATGCCCAGTGCCACAGTTCACTTCCTGTTGCCTGTGGATCAAGATGTAGAACTCTCAGCTCCTTCTCCAGCACCACGACTGGCCTGCACACTGCCATGATGATAATGGACTAAACCTCTGAAACTGTAAGTCATCCAAATTAAATATTTTCATTTACGCAAGTTGCCGTAGTCAAGGTGTCTCTTCGAAGCAATCGAAAATGTAGCTAAGACAGGCTGGGAAAGCCACTGAGTGTCAAAACTTAGTGAGCTGCTGTGAGGACTTGGAGGATTAGAGGATGCTGCTGAGAGCAGTGTAGATGACAGGAGGCTTCGCTTGTGAGGTCTCAGAGGGAAGCACAGGCTCTATGGAGACCATTTGATATTTCTAACTAAGAATCTGCGGTTCTGGTCTGCTGGGGCTGAAGAACCAGCTATAATTAACAAGAAACCCGAACTACCGAAGTAAAACCGGTGGTTTTTCTGGGACAGTGAATGCTGGAACTGAGAAGTTAGTAGTGAGTCAGCATCAACAAGGTGAAATCTGGAAAGCGTTTCTGAAGTCAGCACACAGAAGCTGTGTGCCAGAGGCTGCCAAGGTTTTACGTTGTGCTGGCAGCTGAACTTAGTATTGGGAATCACCCAGGTGGTACTGGTTTTGAAGGCATGAAGGCCATGGAGAGCAGCTGGGGTTTGGCACTGTGTGGCAGTGCTGGAGTCCCTCAAGAGTGCTCAGGAGAGGTTGTTGTTGTTGGTAAAGTGAAATCCAGTTTCGGCAGAAGCCCCCAGCATTTTGGAAATGCCAGTACTAAGGGATGACCACCCAGGACACCATCAGAAGTGGAGTAGAGCAGTCTGAGCCTAGGGGACAGTCTTTGTGTGTTGCAGAGGATAGAGCCGAAGAATTGACATAGCCTTCGGAGGAGCCCATAGAGGTGAGTGAAACAGTTATTTTTACACTGTTGCAGTTTGGGTTACTTTGATTGGATTGTGACTGTGCCCTGGTTCTTCTGTCTTGGATTAAGGAAATGTTTAACTTATTTTGATTTTACAGGAGCCCACAGTTGAGAGACTTTGAACTTTTAAACAGACTTTGAATATTTTAAAGAGACTTCAAACTTTTAAGAGTTTGAATTTTTAAAGTGTGTTTTATACAGTGATGTTGATATTAAGGTGTGATTTTTTTTTCTTGATGAACAAGAAAGGGAAGGTTATAGCTTAACAGCGATGTATTTGCGTGTTTAGTTGAAAGGGTCAGCTGTGCTGGATAGTTTTATGTCAAATTGACACAAGCTATAATCATCTGAGAGGAGGGAGCCTCAATTAAGAAAATGCCTCCATAAGATCAGCAAGCCTGTAGGGCATTTTCTTAGTGATCGATGGGGGAGGGCCCAATGAGAGCAAGTCATTAAGTAGCACGCTTCCATGGCCTCTGCATCAGCTCCCGCCTCCGGGTTCTTGCCCTGGCTTCTCTTAGTGGACTGTGATTCAGGATATGTAAGTCAAACCCTTCCCTTCCACAGTTGCTTCTGGTCTTGGTGTTTCATCATGGCAGTAATAACCCATGACAGCAAGGTCAGCTCAGACCGGCACAGTGGCTTTGGTCGTCTCAGAGTTCGTGCAGGGTTGGGAAGATAGAAGTGGTAAATCTACTTTCAACCTTGGGCTCAGTCATTCATTCCAGAATGAGGTCTCTGGAAGCTTTGGCCTGTGTGTCCCTTGTATCTAGAGTATTGTAGAAGACAGAGCTGGAAGAGATTCTTTCTCACGGGTTTTTTTGAGGCTCGAGAGACTCTTGTTAGAAAGGATGTACACATCCACAGGCTTTAATCCTTCAATTCTTTTGGCCCAGATTATCAAGGTGGGATTTTTCCTTGTTTCGTGCTAGCCCCGAGGCACTGGAGACAAACCTCCCCCTTCTTTCTCACTCTCAGGGAAGAAGCCTGATTTCTCTTTAGACATCCAGTTTGGACTAACGAGGCAGACCACAGGTTTGAGTGTGTTGAACTTCCTGAAGACGCAGGTACAGCCCTATTTTCGTCACATTGGGGTGGGAGTGGGATGCAGAGGGGACACGTGTTGGAAGAGCCCTGCTTCCTCTGCCACATGCATCTCAATTCCCCAGTGTTTTCCCCAAGTGTATGGGGGCCAAGGGTTGGATCATGTGAAAATGGTTACAAGATAAAAGAAACCCTCCTTCCTGGTGTTTCTGTTGAAGACATTTGTTTACACAACCAAACGCCTGCCTAGCCTACCTCCATTGCTTTTGAAAAGCAGTGAAGGCTAAAAATGTCTATGAAGAAGATAAGAAAAAGTTTCTACATCTTCCAGAATGTCTGTAATGCCTGAAATTCCTCTTTGGTGAATGATCTGTTGCCAGGAATGATCTCTTCCCATAACAGCTAGGCAGGTTAAGCACGCTTCTCCCAGCTGAGGCTGACAGCCCCATTTCCAAGCTGACCTGCAAAGCCTCCTGCCTGGGTCAACTACTCTCAGGTGAGCTGCTTCTGGAGGTGGAACAGGGGACAGTGGAATTGGACAGGGCAGAGAGAGGTCTTCCTTTTAGAAGTCTTGTGCTACAGATCTGTCTCACTCAGGTCACTTGCTGATTTAAAAACTGTAACTGTTGGCATGAGTCAATATAATGCTTTCCCAAGGCAAAGTTCAAACTGGTTTGCATTCTTGAAGCTTCAGTAGGTTGGGAAGCTATAGGAGACACCTGTTCGATAAGAGTGGTAGCCAAGGGTTTAGCTTAGAAAACACAGGGCCCAAAGGTGACACTTTTCAGCTTTCCCAGTGGGGAAAGGCTAAGCAGGCAGAAAATCCAGGCCTACAACCTCAGTTGGTGTGACCCTGAACCACCTGTTACACTTCTGAGGGCAACTTTGTCTTCTCTTGTAACCATGTTGGGACTTTTGTGAGTGGAATAATGTGGGTGAAGCCAGCCCATGATGCAGTCCTTGACATCCAAGAGCTAAGATGCTCAGCGCAGGGGTGTTACTGTTTGTACTAGGAGAGATCAGACGTCTGCCGCTTCTGTCACCCTCAAGCAACAGCAGGAACACAGTGTGGCTTCTCAGTTCCTCTCACTCCTTACCCTCTTCTTGAACTCAGTTCCCTGGGCTCCTCCTCTGTGCAGACCCTGCCAGCCTCACAGGCTCCTCGGTGTCTTTGCTTTAAATGAAACCAAAGATTAGTTCAAGTTCCCCTGCTCTCTGAGGCTGCCTTTGACAGCGCATCCGGGACTTGGCAGTAGGTCAAGGTTTGCACAGTCTTGGGGCAAAGGTAGATTCATCAGCCTCCCCAGCTCCTCACGGGGTCTAGAATATTGTGGGAGGATGTGCCAGAAACAGAACTGAAGCGCCTCCCCTCGGGTGACTGAGGATGCAGAAACACACAGACACAGGCTTGAGGGAGCTACTCACGAGGTTAGGCACTGGCCACACACGATCCGCCATTAGGTTTTATTTTGAGACAAGACTGCTCAATGTAGCCCTCCCTGGTGGTTCTGGAACTCCATATGTAGACTATGCTGGCCTCAAACTCACAGAAATCTACTTGCCTTGACTTCGTGAGTGCTTGGATTAAAGGCATGAGCCACCATACCTGGCTGCCCCATATTTTGTTTTTAGCTATAGAACCCCTTGCTAAGATGATCTTTTATGTGCACAGGATATAGAAGATTCTGCATGATGGATGAGGGATCTAGGACCTTAACACAGAAACTTATATTAATTATACAACTGTTTGGTCAGTGACTTAGGCTTCTTACTACTTATTAACACATTTCTATTAATCTAAGTATTTCCATGTGGTCTTATGTTGTGGGAGAAGGCTCCAGCATGTTACTCTGTCAGTGACTTCGCAGCCTCTCTCTGCATCCTCTCCCCAGTATTCTCCTCATCTGGTAGCCTTGCCTATACTTCCTGCCTGGATACTGGCCAATCAGTGTTTTATTCATCACCAATAAGTGAAACACATATGCAGAAGGACATCCTGTCAGGAATAGAATAATAGCAGTACAGAAATCACCTCATGGCACCATTGGTAATCGTGGACAAGGACTAAGAATGCTTCTTCCATTCATCCATCACTAACAGAACCCCTACATAAGTAGAACTTGCAAGAGGCCCAGGTCAAAAGCTTTCCAAATTTCCCTTGTAGGTAGGGTGTCCAGTAAGATACTTGGGTGGGGATTCCAGGCAAGTTTCTTAAGAGACTGATTCACCTGAAACTTTATTTTCTCAAAATTTCTGCTTGATGTAGAATGTGTCTGTGTTAGTTGGAGTTCTAGAAGCCAGAAGGGAAGCCATGAGCGTGAGGGTACACCCAACAGGATAAAAGGACAGAACTTTGGTCTATGCAGACATTGGTGGAACCAGCGTATTAACTTTAGAAGACCTTGTTTTGGTCACCTTTGAATGTAGTGAAGAGATATAAACAAGACATTTTGCAACTTGTTTTGTAGAAGCAACCACAATTGCTGGGACTTTGTTCTTACTCGCCATAGCTCCTCAGCTGTGTTAGCTTTCCACCATTGCAGCATAGCTGTGATAAATCAAGGTGAAAGGAGGAAAGATGGTCTGGAGTGAGCTCTAGAGGACCTGAGTTCGGATCTCAGCACCCATGTCTGGTAACTCAAAACTGCCCGTAACATTAGCTTCGGGGGTTCTGATGCCTTCTTCTGGCCCCTGAGAGCACCAGCATACAGGAGGGACACACACACACACTCTCTCTCCCTCTCATATGTAAAAGCAAAAACATAAAAGATTTATTTTGTTTTTATTTTTCAAGAAAGAAAGATTTATTTTAATTTATAGTTTCAAAGTTTTCTGCCCATGGTCAGTTGGCTTTGTTGTATAGTTTCTGTTGGGCTGGTGGCAATGCCGAACATCTTGGGAGAGCTTGCAAACTCTTTACCTCATAGTGAAAAGAAGCAGAAAGTCAGGGGCTCTGGGCTCTCAATACCCCCTTCAAGGGCACTCCCTCCAGTGACCTAACTTCCTCCTACTAGGCCTGTAGCAGTAGCTGAGGTTTTACCACTCAGTAGGACCACAGGATGGTGACCAGCCCCCCCCCCCGGATTTTGGGGGAGCGTTGAAGAGTTAGAACATAGCAGTCTATCTCTGACCTACAAAAGTGCATGCCTGTCTTACAATGAAACACACATCCCATCTCTGCGAGTCCCCAAAGTCTTAACTGTTTCGGTGCTATTGAAAAGCCCGAGTGTGAATCCTTTCCTGAAACAAAGCAAACGAACTGGGAGCACCCATAACAAATACTAGTAACCTACTCAAATATACCAAGGCACAGGGTGGATTTTGATTTCCAAGTGGGAGGAATAGGAAGATAGACCAATCCAAGACCAAACCCCGCAGGTCAAACACGAGGTCCTGTAACAGAGGGGCATGATGTGGTCACCAAATGGCTTTCACAGGGTATCCCCACAGCCCTCCTGGCTGAAGCCATGATGGCCTGTTCTCGGGCCTCTTTTCCTGGTTGACGTTTCTCTGGTTGGGTGGTCTACATTGCTTGTAACTTCCAGAGGTCTCCAATGCAGTTGCTTTCAGTTCTGGTTCGGACATTCCTCTCTTGGGGTCTGCATGCAGCATCTCTGAATGTGGGACACATTGCTTAGCTTCCAGGTCCTTCCTTTGAAGTCTGGTAGGCCCCCACTCCCCACAGCTACTGTATTCTGCAAGCCTGTAAGCTCAGCATCATTCGCATGCCGCCTAAGTCTGCTCCTCCAGTGAGCCACACGGCTGCAGTGGCTCCAGAATAACTTGATGACTGAATATGGGGAAAAGACATCCCAAGGAAACTATAACCAGGTAGTTTGATGCAGCAGGCTGCTACAGGGGTTGCTCTCAAGCTAAGATACCCTCAGGCATCTGTCCTGTTCTCTAAACGCAAAGTGTTTTACATCTTTCTCTTTCAACGTCATGCCCCCCACGCCACCTTTCCATTCCCTCCTAGGTTGTCTGCCCCCCAATTCCTGGTCTTTTTTCTTTCTTATTGATTATTGTTATTTGGGGTGTGTGTGAATAGTATATGAATACCTTGCTGAGTCTGTGTAGGGCTGACTGTCATTTATATGCCTCTACAACTGACTGCTTCGTGTTAGATAAGCTTGGGCTCATCCCCGAGGAAGACTCCTTCCTCTCTCTCTCAGCGGTCTTTAATGAAGAGCCTGTAGCTCTTAGTCTAGGGGTGGAGCCCCGTGAGATTCCCCCCATCCGCATTGGTTGGCTCCCTTCCTGTTAGCACAGACTTCAGGCCCAGCAGGATTCTCTTCTCTCCCTTAGTCCTCAGAAACCTGGGCATACCTTAACACCATCTTTCTCACTCCTGGAAAGGAGGGACAGTTCCCTGGGATTGGTCTGGGGCAGCCCCAACCACTGAAGAATCCTAAGAAGAGCCCCTAGAGGGCCTGCTTCCTCCCTGAAGTCATTTTATTAGATTATCGCTGAGTGGATATGGCATGCTGTCAAGACACCGGGAGCCAAACACATTACATTTCATTGCCAGCAGACAACAGCACATTTCAGGGGGGCTGCCTTCTGGGGAGTAAACAGTTACAGGAGATTTGTGAAGGGAGAATTGGATACTTCCCCTCTGATTTCAGAATTATACCTTTGACCCCGCATAAATTGTGATTAATTTTATTTTCTGAGCCAATGCATTGGTCAGCTCTGGAATGAGCTCTCCGTCTATGAATAGAGACCGAATAGTGCATTGTATCATTAAGTCTTTATCAAAATTCCCTTAACTGGTGGATGGGAGTTTAATAATGAAAAAGCTAGTTATGGCTTATGCAAACGATTATGACAGTACAGAATGTTTTTCAGTGATTTCAAGTTAGAATTAGGCAACAGCAATAGGCACAAAACAGCCACTTAGGGGACATGCCAGCTGCTCCTAGGAAGCTGCTGACATAAACACAAGGAAAGGCACTAAAACAGACACAATTCAAGTCATAATTTGCTTGCTAAAAATTTCCTCTTTGTGTCTGCAGCCTTTGAG